TTGGGCCATCTTGATCTATGACTTCTGCTGGTTGTTCACTACATGGTTAGATGTTTGGAGACCAGAGTATTTGAGCCATACAAGGTCATTGTGAGGGATGGATACCCTGAGACATGTTGAGGCTGAGGTCTTTATAGGTGTGGAACTCACTATGGTCACATTGGAACTTTCTTCCTCAGCTCTAGAATCAGAGGTCATCTTGATTTCAGCCACTGCATCATCCTCTGTCCCTCCTGCGTTGGCTGGAGCTGGGCCAGTCTGGGTCACTGGTGCCCTGTCTCCCATGAGCAACATCTCAGCCCAGAACTTGGTCTCAGTCAGCTCCACCCTGCAGCTGTGTCTCTCACTGTGGAAAGGACAAGGATCGTGGACAAATGCCTCATTCGAGTGCAGGGTCCAGCAACTGCAGTGGTGTGGTGGCCCCTGGTCTCACCCTCTCTGCAGCAGGTAAACCTGAGTTTTATAAATATCGATGATGCAAGGTTTTGACGCCAGAGTATTATGTCCTTGGGCCTCTATTTCTTCATGATGACAGTGAATTCCTAATTTTAAAGTAGTTTCCATACTTCCAAGCTCATGGTAGATGTTCATAAGGCCTATAGGATCCAAAGAAAGGTTTATCATTGCTAGTGGTGTGACCTGGTTGTGGAGCACTTGCCCTGTGTGCAGTCAGTGCTTGTGTTCCATGCACAATACAAAGAAAAAATAATTATTAATTTTAAAGTGGTACTTGTAATAACTAGATGGTTTATGCAGTATATGGCTTTCCCATAGTTTGGAATGCTCAGGAAAATGGAAAGGCTGTTTGGGCAGGTTGAAAGTGTTCCAGCTAAGAACGACTTCCAAGGGGCTCCCTGTGAAGTATACACTGAGAAGCTCACTGAAGTAGGATATCTTCTCAGACAAGTGGTTATGTATGAATAAAGTAGAGAAGGTTTCACCTTTCATGTAATTGCTGTAGTCCTTGGACTGTGTAGATAATTGTTGTAAAATTTCAAATGCTGGGCTGCCTAGATAGTTCAGACTACAGCATCTCCTTAGGCAGGCTCAGAGACCAGGGTTCAGTCTCTGGTGTGCTGTGCCAGCACCACCCCTGGGGCATGCTGAGAGGACAATTGAGACTGGGCATGGTGGTGTGCACCTGTAGTCTCAGCACTTGAGAGGCTGAAAACAGGAGAATCACTATGAGTCCTACCTGTCTAGTGGGACCCTGTAGACCCTGTACTATATATTAAAAAAAAAAAAATTCAAATGCTGGTTGAAGTGGACTGGATATGTAAGGATTACCACAGTATGGGTAGAGCTTCAGTATCAGGTCTGCAGATGTACAGTGCTTATGTATAAAAAGGTTTTCTTTGTAGGGAGGAATAAATGGAAGGAGAAAGAATGTGAGATAGGAGGCTGGTAGTGGATGCAAAAATCAACACTTACGACATTGGTCTTCCTTAAAGGTCAGGTTGTCCTTAGGAGGACAATGAAAGGATTGTATGTTGGCTTGGTCTAAGAGTGGGTCAACGATCAGAGGCCTGAAGGAAAGAGAAGAGCTTAGTAAAATTAGATAAATATGTCTTATTATTGCTGATCAGTTCACCTATTTTTATAGCAAAATTAAAAATTGCTAAACTGGCCTTGTTATAGTTTTAAAAATTGGGTGGACACCATTATTCTAGGATTTGTAGGAGTTTGACTTCAAAATATATATATATTTTTTTATTTTATAGGAGGAAATTTTAGGGAATTTCTCTGAAATATATCCCACACACTGTTTAATTTTCTTTCTTTCTTTCTTTCTTTCTTTCTTTCTTTCTTTCTTTCTTTCT